CAACAGGAAGATGTAACTATTATAAACATATATGCACCTAATTACAGGGCACTGGTTATTTAAAAGATATGTTAAGGAACTGAAAGGGAAATGGACAGATTCCTGGACATACACAACCTACCTAAATTGAACCATGAAGACATAGAAAACATAAACAGACCCATAACCAAGTCAGAAATTGAATCAATAATAAAGGGCAATCAAACAAAGAAAAGCCCAGGACAGAATGGATTCACTGCTGAATTCTACCAGACATTTAAAGAAGAAGTAACTCCAATTATTTTTTAATATTTTTATTATTTATTTGAAAGGTAGAGTTACAGACAGTGAGAGAGACAGAGAAAGGTCTTCCTTCCATTGGTTCACTCTCCAAATGGCTACAATGGAGAAGCCAGGAGCCAGGAGATTCTTCCTCTTCTCCCATGTAGGTACAGGGGCCCAAGCACTTGGGCCATCCTCTACTGCTTTCCCAGGCCACAGCAGAAAGCAAGACTGGAATAGGAGCAGCCAGGACTAGAACCAGCATTCATATGGGATGCCGGTGCCACAGGCGAAGAATTGACCGAGTGCACCATGGAGCCAGCCCCCTAACTCCAATTCTTCTCAAACTATTCAGAACAATTGAAAAAGAGGGAATCCTCCCAAATTCTTTCTACGAAGCCAGCATCACCTATATTCCTAAACCTGAAAAAGATGCAACATTGAAAGAGAATTACAGACCAATTTCCCTGATGAACATAGATGCAAAAGTCCTCAATAAAATTCTGGCCAAGAATGCAACAACACATCAGAAAGATCATCCACCCAGACCAAGTGGGATTTATCCCTGGTATGCAGGGATGGTTTAATGTGCGCAAAACAATCAATGTGATACACCACATTAACAATCAGCAGAAGAAAAACCATATGATTATCTCAATAGATGCAGAGAAAGCATTCGATAAAATACAATACCATTTCATTATGAAAACTCTAAGCAAATTGGGTATAGAAGGAACATTCCTCAATACAATCAAAGCAATCTATGAAAAACCCACAGCCAGCTTCCTATTGAATGGGGAAGAGTAGGAAGCATTTCCACTGAGATCTGGTACCAGACAGGGATGCCCACTCTCACCACTGCTATTCAATATAGTTCTGGAAGTTTTAGCCAGAGCCATCAGGTAAGAAAAAGAAATTAAAGGGATACACATTGGGAAGGAATAAATCAAACTATCCTTCTTTGCAGATGATATGATTCTTTATTTAGGGGACCCAAAGAACTCTACTAAGAGACTATTGGAACTCATAGAAGAGTTTGGTAAAGTAGCAGGATATAAAATCAATGCACAAAAATCAACAGCCTTTGTATACACAGGCAATCCCACGGCTAAGAAATTCTAAGATCAATCCCATTCACAATAGCCACAAAAACAATCAAATACCTTGGAATAAACTTAACCAAGGATGTCTAAGATCTCTCTGGTGACAATTACAGTATCTTAAAGAAACATAGAAGAGGATACCAAAAAATGGAAAAATCTTCCATGCCCACGGATTGGAAGAATCAATATCATCAAAATGTCCATTCTCCCAAAAGCAATTTCTAGATTCAAAGTGATACCAATCAAAATGCCAAAGACATTCTTATCAGATCCAGAAAAAGTGATGCTGAAATTCATATGGAGGCACAGGAGACCTCGAATAGTTAAAGCAATCTTGGACAACAAAAACAAAGCCAGAGGCATCACAATACCAGATTTCAGGGCATACTACAGGGCAGTTGTAATCAAAACAGCATGGTACTGGTACAGAAACAGATGGATAGACCAATGGAACAGAATTGAAACACCAGAAATCAACCCAAACATCTACAGCCAACTTATATTTGATCAATGATCTAAAACCAATTCCTGGAGCAAGGACAGTCTATTCAACAAATGGTACTGAGAAAATTGGATTTCCACATGCAGAAGCATGAAGTAAGACCCTTACCTTACACCTTACACAAAAATCCACTCAACATGGATTAAAGACCTAAATCTATGATCCAACACCATAAATTATTAGAGAACATTGGAGAAACCCTGCAAGATATAGGCACTAGCAAAGACTTCTTGGAAAAGACTCCAGAAGCACAGGCAGTCAAAACCAAAATTAACAATTGGGATTACATCAAATTGAGTGAAGAGGCAACCGACAGAATGGGAAAAAATTTTTGCAAACTATGCAACATATAAAGTATTAATAACCATAATGTACAAAGAGATCAAGAAACTCCTCAATGGCCGGCACCGCGGCTGAATAGGTTAATCCTCCGCCTTGCGGCGCCGGCACACCAGGTTCTAGTCCCGGTCGGGGCGCCAGATTCTGTCCCAGTTGCCCCTCTTCCAGGCCAGCTACCTGCTGTGGCCAGGGAGTGCAGTGGAGGATGGCCCAAGTGCTTGGGCCCTGCACCCCATGGGAGACCAGGAGAAGCACCTGGCTCCTGCCATCGGATCGGCCGCAGCGCGCCAGCCGCTGCAGCCATTGGAGGATGAACAAACGGCAAAGAAAGACCTTTCTCTCTGTCTCTCTCTCTCACTGTCCACTCTGCCTGTCCAAAAAAAAAAAAAAAAGAAAGAAAGAAACTCCTCAACAACAAAACAAACAACCCACTTAAGAGATGGGCAAACGGCCTAAACAGACATTTTTCAAAAGAGGAAATCCAAATGGCCAACAGACACATGAAAAAATGTTCAGGATCACTAGCCATCAGGGAAATGCAAATCAAAACCACAATGAGGTTTCACCTCACCCTGGTTAGAATGGCTCACATACAGAAATCTACCAACAACAGATGCTGGCAAGGATGTGGGGGAAAAGGGACACTAATCCACTGTTGGTGGGAACGCAAACTGGTAAAGCCACTTTGGAAGTCAGTCCGGAGATTCCTCAGAAACCTGAATATAACCCTACTGTACAACCCAGCCATCCCACTCCTTGGAATTTACCCAAAGGAAATTAAATTGGCAAATAAAAGAGCTGTCTGCACCTCAATGTCTATTGCAGCTCAATTCATAATTCCTAAGACCTGGAATCAACCTAAATGCCCATCAACAGAAGACTGGATGAAGAAATTATAGGATATTTATAGAATACTATACAGCAGTTAAAACAAAATCTGGTCATTTGCAACAAAATGGAGGAATCTGGAAAACATTATGCTGAGTGAATTAAGCCAGTCACAAAGGGACATATATGTTCTCCCTGATCAGTGACAACTAACTGAGCACCTAAAAGCAAACCCGTTGCAGTGAAACTGACAGTATGAGAAGCAATGACTTGATCAGTCCTTGTCCTGACTGTCCAGGAACCACTTATTATTTTATTCCTTTTAGTATTTTTTCTATTTAATACCATTGGTTGAACTCTTTAATTAACACACAATTATTCCTAGGCATTTAAATTTAACTGAAAAGTGATCCCTGTTAAATTTAAGAGTGGGAATAAGAGAGGGAGGAGATGTATAGTTCGGCACATGCTCACTCAGACTTACCCCTAATGGTAGAGTTTCACTCCCCCTCTTCACAGAGGAACGACACTAGACCCTGCGCTGTTCTTTTGTCTGCTCGACCCTTCCCGGGTTTGCTGCTGGTTCTTCCCGGGTTGGCTGCCGATCCTTCCACCTCCGTGGAAGGGCGGCTCCCCCTGCCACTTTCCCCACTTCCGCGGGGGAGCGGCACACTGCCGGCCAGCTCTCTCGGGGGCTGCTCAGATGTTATCCGGATGTTCCCCTTAGATGTTCCTGGTGCATGTTGTCTCTCTCCTCCTTTATAGTCCTCTTCCACCAATCCCAACTCTGCTACCCACACGCCGAGTACGCTGCTCTCCTCCAATCAGGAGCAGGATCAGCTCCTGCAGGTTATTGGTCGAACTGGAGGCAGCTGTGTAAAAGTTGTTTCCTCCTCTCCCAGCGCCATATTGTGGGAGAGCAGATGCATAGAATAAGTCTTAATTCCAGTAACTTAGTCTAGTCCGAGTTGCTCCCCACAGTAGAGCTAGAAACATGCCAAGGGATTCCAATTAAATGCCATCAAGGTGGCATGTACTAATGCCATCTTGTTAAAGTGATCAGTTTAAGTTCATAATTGATCAAAAAGTTAGAATTAAGTGTCAAAGGGTCTTACATAAATAAGACCAGTGTCTGCTAATAATAATTGAAAGAATTAAAAAGGAGAGAATGATACTATATGGGAAGCAGGATACACAGCAGACTCATAGAATGGCAAATACTCTAAACAGCACTCTGGCTGCATAATCATCCCTTAAAGGCATTTGGAACTGGCTAAAAAGCCCATGAGAGTTTCGCAGGTATGGAAAGCCAAGACACTGTGGCAAAAAAAAAAAAAATGACCTAAATGAAAGATCTCTGTGAGTGAGATCCCAGCAGAAAGAACAGGCCATCAAAGAAGGAGGTACCTTTCTCTGAAGAGAGGAGAGAACTTCCACTTTGAATATGGCCTTGTCTAAATAAGATCGGAGTTGGAGAACTCAAGAGGCTTCCATAGCCTTGGCAGCTCATGACAAGAGCCTTGGGTGATCACTGACACCATAAATAAGAGTGTTAATTGTTAAATCAACAACAGGAGTTACTGTGCATTACTTCCATGTAGTATCTCGGCCCCTAACGTGTTGTACTACATGAATTAATGGTAAAACTACTACTCAAACAGTAATTTATACTTTGTGTGTCTGTATGGGTGCAGTCTGTTGAAATCTTTACTTAGTACATACTGAGTTGATCTTCTGTATATAAAGATAATTGAAAATGAATCTTGATGAAGAATGGGATGGGAGAGGGAGTGGGAGATGGGATGGTTGCAGGTGGGAGGTACATTATGGGGGAAAAGCCGCTATAATTCAAAAGTTGTACTTTGTAAATTTATATTTATTAAATAAAAGTTGAAAAAAATAATAAAAAAGAAACACAAAAAATTAAAAAGTGATCTTATCATAAACTTGCAAATCCTCCCCCTCTCCCAATATACTCAAATGAATATATATATATATATTTAAACCTATATCTCTTCTAAAACTAACTCTATACACTGAGAAAATGCATAAGGTAGGCACCATGGGAGATTCTACAAGAGACTATTCTGCAGCTTCTGACAGCATCGTGCTTACCACCAGTCTGTCTCGAGTAGTATTCCCTTTGTTTGATTCAACCTCTGTTCTTGTATTGTATCCAAGAGTTGAGTACTAACACTCTTTTTTTTCCTCCCTCGGGAATTCTTCCTGCTTTAAGTAAGCAGTTGCAATGAGAAGAATTTCAAGTTTTAGATTCCCAGATAGCTGAAATTTAGTCAAGCAGATTATTAAGACCACTCAAAATTAAAGATATGTCATATCTAATAAATAACTCCATAGTAGATGCTTTTTGCTGTTTTGAGCTTTGTGTAATAATAAAGCATTATGGTGGGTCAGCCTGCACACCTCCGGCATGGCGGACTTCTCCAAACCTGCGGCTCCCATTCTGTCTCTCAACCCGGAGAAAGATGCACAGTTTCGGAAGGAGGTGGAGCAAGTCCGCAAGCGCGTCACCCAGAAAAAAAAGCAAGAAACACTTACTCCTGGAGTAATCTATGTGGGCCACCTACCTCCAACACTTTATGAAACCCAGATTCAAGAGTATTTCTCCCAATTTGGCACTGTTACAAGATTCCGACTGTCCAGAAGCAAAAGGACTGGAAATAGCAGAGGCTATGCCTTTGTGGAGTTTGAGTCTGAGGATGTTGCCAAGATAGTTGCTGATACAATGAACAACTACCTTTTTGGTGAAAGGCTCTTGGTGTGTCATTTTATGCCACCTGAAAAAGTACATAAGGAACTTTTTAAAGCATGTAATGTTCCATTTCGTCAGCCATCACATCCAGCAGTGAAACGGTATAATCGGAATCGGACACTTCTACAAAAGCTATGGATGGAGGAGCAATTTAAAAAGAAAGAAAAACTACTCAGAAAGAAATTAGCTAAAAAGGGAATTGATTATGATTTTCCCTCATTGATTTTACAGAAAGGAAAAATGTTGGAAGCACTGATCTTCAGAACTCTACAAATGGCCAGGTGGTAAATGTACCTTCAAAGAAGAAAACTTCTGGCATACCTAAGAAGAAGAAAAAAAAGACTTCAGGTACTGCTAACACTCCTGAGAAGACTGTGGATAGCCAGGGCCCCACACCAGTTTGTACACCATCATATTTGGAGAGACGAAAATCTGAAGCAGCTGAAATGAAAGATGATGAGAAAGATGATGAAATAGTTTTCAGACAGCCTGTATCTGATGTAAAAGAAGAAACACAAGAGACTCAAACAACTGCACGTTCAGGGAAGAAAAGACGAAGAAAAAGCAATCCATGATTCTGAGTGTATTTTGTATAATATATCTTCTGGAAAATGTGATGATTTTATGACTCTGAGCGTTACTGTGGTGTATTTTGTATAATATATCTTCTGGAAAATGTGATGATTTTATGACTCTGAGTGTTACTGTGATACTACGGAATGCAACCATTGATGGGATTTTTCAGAGGAAAAACAAGCTATTTGATTGCATCACTCAGGAAACCAATCAGTGATTTTGGCTTGTCTGCCCTTGCTAAGGCACAGTGGTGCAGTGGTTGGCTTCATAGTATCCTTGTCGTAGTCTTGTTTTCTTTTTAGCTTTCATAGCTCTCCTTAGTTATTCTGCCTACATAAAAACTGGTCATCATTAAGTTTAAGTACTAGGGGGCTGGCACTGTGGTGCAGCGGGTAATGCAAGCCTGAAGTGCTGGCATTCCATATGGGCACCGGTTCGAGCCCCGGCTATTCCACTTCCAATCCAGTTCTCTGCTATGGCCTAGGAAAGCAGTAGAAGATGACCCAGGTCCTTGGGCCCTGCACCCACGTGGGAGACCCAGAGGAAGCTCCTGGCTTCGGATCAGCACAGCTCTGGCCATTGTGGCAATCTGGGGAGTGAACCATTGGATGGAAGACACCTTTCTCTCTCTCTCTCTCTCTCTCTCTCTCTCTCTGTAACTCTCTGACTTTCAAATAAGTAAATAAATATTTTTTTAAAAAAAGAAAAAAAATAATAAAGCATTATAAGGTAAATTACAAAGTATGGCAGATAAGCCCAGAATCATTTGTAAAGTAATGTGATAAATACTGAGACACCTTTTATTCTATAATGGTCCCACTGAATCATAGAAATATGGTTTCAGGGGCAGGCATTTGGGGTAATGGTTAAGATGCTACTTGGGACACCCACATCTTATACCGGAATGCCTGGATTCAAGTCCTGGCTCTGTTCTCCTTTCCAGCTTCCAGTTAATGTGGTTCAAGTAGGTGGATCCCTGCCACCCACATGGGAGACTAACATTGAGTTCTGGGCTCCTGGCTTCAGCCTGGCCCAGATCAAGCTGTTTTAGGCATTTAAGAGGTAAGCTAGTGGTAGAAGATTCTCTCTCTCTCTCACTTTCACTCTCTCTGTCTCACTCAATGCTTGTTTTCCTGATTTTCAAATAAATAAAAATTAAAAAGAAATATGGTTTCAGAAATTTATCTGAGTTCAAATTTGCTAACAGTTGGTTTAAGAATGTGTATGTGGCACAATTACTATCAATTAATCATGGGAAGAGAAATGCAGGAAGCTTCTAGAAATACTGTTATTTGCTTGTAAGATAAGATAGAGTGAAAAAAACTGGTGTCTTTCTATAACTACATGAACAAAGCCAGCACCGTGGCTCACTAGGCTAATCCTCTGCCTTGCGGTGCTGGCACACCGGGTTCTAGTCCCGGTCGGGGCACCGGATTCTGTCCCAGTTGCCCCTCTTCAAGGCCAGCTCTCTGCTGTGGCCATGGAGTGCAGTGGAGGATGGCCCAAGTATTTGGGCCCTGCACCCCATAGGAGACCAGGATAAGTACCTGGCTCCTGCCATCGGATCAGCACAGTGCACTGGCCGCAGCGCACCGGCCGCGGCGGCCATTGGAGGGTGAACCAACGGCAAAGGAAGACCTTCCTCTCTGTCTCTCTCTCTCTCACTGTCCACTCTGCCTGTCAAAAAAAAAAAAAAAAACTACATGAACAAGAAAATCTGTAGCCCAGTTACAGCCACTTAAAATCATAAAGGGAGTAAGCCTTAATTTGAAGCTGACACTACAGATGGCATAATGGAAAAGCAGAAAGAGACTAGATCTGTGGTGATAATAATGAGCCACTAAAGCAGCTCACCTGTAGCCTATCTCACTTCTAGATTTTCTGTTCTTTGGCATAATAAATTTGCTTATTCTAGTTAATTCAGCACTTCTGTTATTTACAGCCTAAAATCCCATCAAATACCAGCACCCTCGATTTGTAGAGGCCATCTGCTATGTTATTTTAAATATGTATATAATTAAGTTGGTTTATGATGATTTTAAAAACAAAATTTTAAAAATAATAGCAAACTAGCAAAGAGCTCAGCCATGCATAATAAAAATTGCATAAAATAGTGAAAAATGAACACATAGTATAGTGATCAAATATTTACTACTTGATTTATCAAGGCTTTTTATTTGATTCTTCACAATTTTTTTGAAAAGTTAAACATAAAAGGTCTAATAATAAAACTATGTGACAGCTTGTCTCTGTGGAAAAAGCCTTATGGAAGTAAGAGACAGAACAGACCTTTTTGATTTGTACCTTTGCCAAGGCATGATAGCTTCTTACAACATATTTTCTCGTTAAAATTATACAAAGGATCTCAATCCTGAGGCATTAGGAATAAGCTGACTTCTAGCTGGGATTAAAATGAGATTTCTTCCCCTTGGGGAATGGTACTACAAATATGATCAAGTGAATTACTGAAGGATTTTATTAGATTCCTGGTCTGGTCCAGGGTGATAATTTCTAAATACAGAGAATTGGAAAAGGGCAAATGTTTATCTTGAAGAGTAAACTAAAGGGGAATTTAAATTCAACAGACTTTCTTCACACTCTCAGCTTCCACTACCACCATGGACACAGATTCCACAAAGAAGGAAACTTTCTAAAAGACCATTCAAGTAAACTGTAAAATGTAAGATCACAAAAACAGCCTTAATAATCTAACATGTCCTCACCCTGTAAAACACATCACCATATAAAACTAGTCAGGCTCCGTGGTTTCTTACAATCTATTTATTCTTCCATCTTTCCAGTTGTGATGGCTCCTTTGTTTATAATGATATCCCCCTCTCCCTGTCTCTTTCACACTCCCCTCCTTCCTCTCCTCCTTCTGTCTCCATCCTCCATTTCATTTTCCTTCACAATGCATACTCTTCATTTCAGGTCTAATTCAAGCCTGATCTGCTAAAAGCCATGCCTGGGCACTTCTCCCCTCTGGATTCCTATGATGGTCTCACAAAAATATAGAGACAAATTTCCAATAAGGGAACTTTGAATTTGGAGTAAAGAATAGGATTAAGGGACAGGTATTTGGCCTAGTGATTTAAACTTCTGGTTGGGATGCCCACATACCATACCGGAGTGCCTGGGTTTGAATATTGCCTCCACTCCTGATTCTAGCTTCCTGCTAATGTGTGCTCTGGTGAGCACACTATTGAATGTTCAGCAAGAAATGGCCCAAGTCATGGCTCCTGCCACTTACATGAGAGACCTGGATTCAGTTCTTTACCTTCTCACTTCAGCTTCACTCAGCCCCAGGTGTCGCAGGATTTGGGGGAGTAAACCATTAGATGGAAGATCTTGTCATACACTTCCTCCCTTCTATCTGTCTCTCTCTCTCTCTCTCTCAAATAAATAAATAGGACTGCAATGTGCTACATATATGCCCAGGCCACAGTAGACTGTGATATGTCTGGAAAATGAAAAGTTGGGGATTTCATTAGGATACAGAAATCTACAAAGGAGCTGGCAAGCTCTGATTGGCCAGGGGCAGCATTTACTACAGAGAGCTAGTCTTACAGTCACAGCTATCAGTTTTGAAAACAGTTGTTAAGAAGAAAACAGTCTTCCTAAAATTATTAAATGAGCATATTTTAAATGAAATCTAAGAGCTCAATGGAAAAATCTTTAATCCTTTTTCACAGTTATCAATATGGATGTGCATGTATATTTTATCACCAAATAATAAATGAATCAATGAAATTCATTTAGTTTTCTGGATTATTCACATCCTGAGGAAGTCATATCACATATAGTGTGGTTTTTTTTGTTTTTTTTTTTTTTGTTTTTTGTTTTTTGTTTTTTGACAGGCAGAGTGGACAGTGAGAGAGAGAGACAGAGAGGAAGGTCTTCCTTTGCCCGTGGTTCACCCTCCAATGGCCGCCACGGCCGGCGCACTGCAGCCAGTGCACCGCGCTGATCCGATGGCAGGAGCCAGGTACTTACCCTGGTCTCCCATGGGGTGCAGGGCCCAAGCACTTGGGCCATCCTCCACTGCACTCCCTGGCCACAGCAGAGAGCTGGCCTTGAAGAGGGGCAACCGGGACAGAATCCGGAGCCCCGACCGGGACTAGAACCTTGTGTGCCAGCGCCGCAAGAAGATTAGCCTAGTGAGCCGCGGCGCCGGCCGACATATAGTGTTAACAGACTTAAACACAAGGTGGGTTTTTTTCATTGGATTGGCCCACCTGACAGGGTAGTTTCTGAGTAAATCATTTATGACTTCAACATTTCTTACCATTGGACTTTCAATTCTATTTTAAATGGATATGGAAGTAATATTTTTATTTATGTGCTCTGTTTCTACAAAGGAAAGTCTGCATCAGAAAAGTCCAAACATGTCTATTGTGTTCAGTTGGTATAATGAGAAGCTTGATATTTAAGATGAAAAAAGAGTTCAGAGCCCAACTCTGACACTCACAGACCCTGTGACAGCTGCCCTCAATAAGAGTACAGATCTTTATTACTAATATCAATAATAATTTGCAACTATTAAATACTGATTCTGCCATTTAGTATCCTCATGATCTTAAGTGAGACATTTAGCCTACCTCATTTTCTCTGTTTGTAAAATGAATAACATCTGTTCTATTGCCTTCATAGAATTATGAGAACTGAAATAAGATAATGAGTATCACAGTGTTTTTAATGAATACAAAAGCTCCTCAATATATGATGGGTTATATTCTGATTAACTCACTATAAGCTAAAAATTATAAATCAAAAATGCATTGAATACAGCAATCTACTGAACATTATAACTCAGTAAAACTACAACAAAGAATATTTGTTGTCTACTCTCATGATCTTACTCTCAAGCTTGACTGAGAGCTACTGCTTCCTGCCACTACCCAGACATAATGACAAAGGTTTATACTGCATACTATACTGCTGGCCCAGGAAAAGGTCAAAATTCAAAATTGGGAGCACGGTTTCTATTGAATACATATGATTCTTACAACATCATAAAGTCAAAAAAATCATAAGCCAAGCC